AGGTCACTGCTGTGCAGGTGGCTCCAAACAGCAGAAGATGGGTGGTGGGGAGGCTTTAACCACTTTAACCTGCATGTGCTCTCCTGCTCCTTGCTCAGGGGGGTTCAGCCACCTCTGCCCAATTTGTGCCACTGAAAAATTGCCCAGTACAAAAAAAAAAAGCACCTTTGCATGTGTGACATCCAGATGGCTGAAGGCCATTTGATGCTTTCCACAGGCTGGACTATTTGGTGGCTTGTATTTCAGTATTAACCCTTCATTAATTTCATTCTGTTAGTGCAGCACAACATCTTACTTCTCCCTTTCCCTTCCTTTCTTACCACTTTAAAACATCTTAAATGTCTAAATTTTCTTTTGAAATGGAACTAACAGCACTTATTAACATATTGTTTGTTCTGGTTAGATTATTCCCAGCTGGCATATGTTTTGTTTGCTGCTAACAACAGCAAAGGGAATTGGGAGCTCTGGAGAAGGGCTATATCGTTTGTGCCTGCCGCCCTCTGTTGCAGTCTTGGGATTACCCGTAAGACCCATTATTAATGAATTCTTCTGCAAAGAACTCTTGAACCAGAGTATGTCACATTCAACTTTTTTTCTGTATTTTGAGTTTTTCTGCTTTTGGCAATTTGGAATTTGGCAAATCCTCTGGTGTATCATGAAACACTAAAGTTCACTAAAATCTGCACTTTGGCATCCCATTCAGAAAAAATAATCAGATAGAAAAAAAAATGTGAGAGGGAATGTTTTGAAGATGATGAACTATTGGGATTTTTCACTCTATTATGATAATTTCTAATTTTACTTAAATGGAAATAAAAAAGAAAGAAAAAAAGGATAACAAGATCAATAAACTGAAAGAAAATAATTTTATTTTGGGTTAGGACAATCCTAGACAAATAAATACATGAGTTGTCAACTTCAAAGATAACAGATAATATATTTGAATTTATTAATTCTTTTAATTAACTTCCTGAACTAAAGCATCATTTTTTAAACTCCTTCTCTAATACAATCCCCTCCATTTTAGTCCTTCAGCTGGCTAATTTGGACAACGTCAGCGAGTTCTCTCTCCATCTTCACCTTCACTTTTAATACAGTTTAAGCTGCCACAGTTAACTTACAGAGGTACTGCTTCTAAAACTGCTCATATGGGTGTGTCCTATAGGATCATTTGAATGGACAGAACAGATACCAGTGTAACCAAGAGAAGAAAAACATAAAAGCAAAAATTATATAAAACCAGGATGCAGCAGGTGGAACAATTTCTTGTGAGTGCTGTGGACAAGCATTTTTCATAATTACAAAACTGAAGACCAAATGCTGCTATTTCTGTAAGAAATAAAATAAAAATACATACCACACTCTATGGAGGTAAGGTTTAGGTTCACTAGCTCAGTGCAGGTCATTTTAGGAAGCCCATAGCCTTCATACTATTATATTCTATTTAGGGACCATGGACTGACTCTTTTGGAAGCTGTGAAGAAAAATTTCACGGCAAAGGGGCACTAATGATGGCCTCTTCAAAAGCCCACACTCCTTTGAAACAGTATTGTTCTATTTTAAGGAACTTGGACTGAGAGGTTACTTACAGGAATCTAAATCTTAGAGGTTATGTGGAGCAGTTTCAATAAAAAAAGATACTGTCTCCGCATGTCTTCTCTGCAGATCAAACCATATCAGATAGCACACTTATCCTTTTATAGTCCAGGTATTTTTCTGAGAATTACTAGGCTGCATAGTTCATTCAACAAAACTTCAGTTTGAGATCATATAGAGTAGTTTTGTCTGAAGAAGAAAGGATAAAGAGAAGGTACACCTTGAGTATGATTGGCATTTTTTATTTTATGACAGCATTCTTCCTTTCAAAGTTGATACATGTTAAAAAGCTCTTCTTGTTTCAAAGTATACAGACTACATTGTCACTGTTTGAGCCTTCTCTGAATTGTGAACTGGTCTCTTCCCACGACCAGACGTGAAAGAGAGGGAAAAGTGCAAAGTGATTCCAAAAAGTAACGTGTGCAGGAAGGGCGAGTTGAAATTGTTTTGTTAGGTATTGTTCCCTTTAGGGGTGGTGATAATCACTTCAGAAGCACCACAATATCCAGCTCACTAGACATGTTAAGTATTTTGACAAGGATGTGATTTTATTTGGAATTGGAACAATAAACTACTTGGATGAGAATGATACTTTATTGCATACAAAAAAAGCAGGAAGAATGAAAACTAATGAAAACATCAGAACATCAAGGTTAAAAAGCCCTGTTGTTAATATCAAAAGCTATCCAAAAGCTTCTGATAATCTTAATACACTTATTATCTTAATATATGACAATCTTAATATACTTTCCACTTATTTAAATGTGGAAATAGGAAAAAGAGGAACAAACCTCTTTAAAGTTTTATGGCAAGTCTCTGGCTAACTACAGTGTTTCAGGGAACTATGCCAAATTTATACCTTTTTGTACTAGTGTTTTTAATAGTGTGGAAATTTGACCTTAAATTGTTGCTGAAGCAAAACTAGAAGAAAAAGTCTTGCTCTTGTAGAGGTTTCTAAACTTCTATAGTAATAGCTGCTACTTGTGTCCTGACATAAAACAGTATGATATGGAAACTGATGATGACTTCAGGTCTTCAGTTCAAAAAAATTGCCTCTGCCTTATTCTAACAGTCTCTGCTGCATGTCAGCAGCTGTTGGCACAGAGTGCCTCAATAAATATCAAGAGGGAGGGGAACTGGGCAGCAGACAACCGAAGAAACTCAAAACAAGGAAGATGAAGGATGGCAGTCATATTGGAGAGCTTGTAAAATCTAATTGCAGAGCAGGTGAGGAAGAAGACGAGCTCTGGAGGTGATATGAGCTTGCCCTGACTGAGCAGGAGACAAGAGTGGAGGATCTGAACACTGGAAAAACTTTCCCTGAGAAGTGAGAAGCTTGTTTTAAAATCTCATAGGAAGAAAAATCCAGGATGTTCCTGAGTGACATTTGTTTCTGTAATCTCCATGTTAAAACAGACTATTCCACTGTGTCAAAGGAACAACACAAAATCATCCAGGAGTGAAGGCTGCTGTAGCTGCCTCTTCTGCCAGCTTGTACTGTGGGATAGAAATGGGGACTGCTATGGGGGAAGCTAGGGAAACCCAGAGGTACCTGATGTACCTCCTTCTGGGCTGAAAGACATGGTTTTGGGGACACTGAGGCTCATGAGCTGGCAAGGGAGGCCTTCAGGAGGTGAGGGTCAGTGATAGCCCAGAATGAGCTGGCATTAACTGCATCATCTTGCAGGAATACCTGAAGAAAGAAAATTCGTAGCAAGCTGATACAAATCTTCAGAGATCCAACAGCAGCTAAGCACGTGCACATTTAAACTTCTTCTTAGAAAATAGCAATTTTTGCCAAATACACAACAGTTTCTCTATGTCTCTATGGTATATTAGTCACCTGTAGGGACTCCCTCTCCATTTGGATTACAGAACATCTCAAGCTTTCCACTCAGGCAGTAGACATGTACCTAGAAAAGAATTTCAGTGGACTGCAGCACAGCTCCCATTCTATGAAAAGAGATATTTTAATATGCATATTCCTGATTTAAAAGTTTATGGAAATACAATTAAAAGGAATTTGCTACTATGTTATGTTCCCGATGGAAAGGTGAGAATAATTTCCAGCTATTATGCCAGTCACTTTAAGAATAAAAATACATAAAGAAAAATGTCACGTATTTAACAGTAGTTGTCTTACTGTTAAAAATCATACCGTACAGTTATCTGGTTTATTAAAAAGAGCACTGAAATAATCCATTTTAAACCATTAATACTGCATATTTTTTACTGTTCAAATTAAAAATTAATTTAAGACTTACATGGCTATTTCCTAAGTAAAAAGCAAAGGTAGTCTTTAGGGCATATAACAATATGCCTTGCTGAATACTTATGTCAACAATACAATGGTTATCCATATATATCCCTGTAGCTAGAACACTCTAAAATGAGCAATTGCCCTGAGGGGTTTTCCTTTACAATCAGGTATTACTTGTTTTAGAATGATCACATCACAGCTTCTACTTAATAAAAAGGATCATAACTAAATTGGAACTTCATTTCCAGGGAAATTCATAAGAACCAGTGTACCACCATACTGGTGTCAGCTTTCAAATCCCTTAAGGAGCTTTGGCTTGCAATTGCCTCTCAGCAAAACTCAGCACTGGGTTTCCTTCTAAAGTTGACCTTTTTTTTATTGCACACACACCTCTGGATCTGCTTTATTTCCTGCACTATTCGTGGTATTATTGGCTGAAAGAAACCCAAAATATAACATAAAAAATGATGCCACAAAAATTGAATACACTGATCTGGAGCTGCTTTATTTCAGTGGAGATATAAAACAGATAAATCAGGCTAATTTTTTTGCTTGAAATACAGAAACTGTCCAATGGAAGGATTTAATTAAAAGACCTCCCATTCAAACCCACTGTTGTGGTTTGAGGCTTGGAATGGGGTCATGACCTTCCAGCAACTGGGAGGACCCCGGGTAGGGGTGAAATCATTGTATTCCCTCCCCTTCCCACACACACTCTGATAAGAGGCAGGGAGTGTTTTCTTATTTCACTCCTGCCTTGGAGCTCGGAGAGGAAAGTCGTCCTTTCACTCCGTGGGACCCTGGAACCATTTCTGAGGGTTTTGTATATTTCAGTTCTTGTATTATTCCCCTAATCTTTGTATATATTATTTTCCTTACCTCCCTTTTTCGTTTTCTGTTCCTTGTTGAACAATATACTTCGTTTTTTTTCCAACGTGTCTCTCTCTCTCGGGGGGGGGAGAGGGGAGTACATAGTTCTGTTCCGTGTGGGTCCTGCCCTGAACCCCTTTTTACACGGAACCAGGACACCCACCTTCTTATTACCTTTTTTCAGGTTAGTCATCTGGCATCTCAGCTGAAAGGTGAATCCTTTTCCGGGCTTGTGACAGAGGTGGGGTCGGCAGGGGCACCCGGGCAGGCTGACATGAGCTCAGCCCAGGGTCCCACTGCTGAAGAGAGGATACTTGTGGCCTTGTGCTATGAGGTGAATGACTCCTGCTACAGGACTTTACACTCTTCAGGGTCCAGCTGGCCATTTATCTGGCCTGTGCCTTGGGCATGCTGATAATTTTCCTGGGGAATCTGTTCGTCATCATTGCCATTTCCCATTTCAAAGCCCTGCACACCCCCACCAACCTCCTGCTCCTCTCCCTAACCCTTGCTGACCTCCTCCTGCAGCTCACCATGATGCCCTTCAACACCATCTGGTCTGTAGAGAGCTGCTGGTATTTTGGAGGTGACTTCTGTAGGCTGCATAACCTTCTGGACACACTTTTTTCTTGACCTCCATATTTCATCTGTTTCATTTCCACTGATCAGCCCTGTGCCACCTGTGACTCTTTGCTTTACTGTACCAAGTTCACCATAAGAGTGGCCTGCATTTACATTGGGATGTGGTGGGCAGTGCCTGGACCTCTGTCTTCCTCCACAGTAAAGCAGTTGCAGAAGGACTGGGCCATTGTTTTGTGAGATGTGCCCTGTGTTGGTAGCAGTCAGCTGCTGTTCAACAAGATCCAGAGGTGGTTGAACTTCCCAGTTCTCTTCTTCCCTTGCCTTATAATGATAGTTTTGTATGTGAAAATATTTAATGTGGTTAACAAGCAAGCCAGGCTAATAAATATGAATAGGAGTGTCAGGCCTCAGCTCCACATAGGAGCATCCAAGAGTGAAAGGAAGGCAGCAAAGACTCTTGGGGTAGCTACAGGAGTCTACCTCCTGTACTGGCTGCCCTTTACTATTGACTCTATGGTAGACAGTCTTCTGGATTTCATTACCTCCTCAGTTCTGTTTCACATCCTAATTTGGTTTGCTTATTTCAGTTCTGCCTGTAATCTCTTCATGTATGCATTTTCCTACCATTGGTTTAAGAAAGCTGTAAAACTAGTCTTAAATCATGGGATCTTTTGTTCTAGGACATCTACAGTAGACTTGTACTAGGAACGACCAGAGCCTTCATATGCACTGTAGAAAATATTGTAGGCTACATCATAGCATTCCTCATTAATAGTCTTCAATATCCACTTAGCTAATATTTCTTTTCTTGTTTTCTAATTTTTAAAAAACAGCTGGTTTGGGCAGAACGCCAGTTTAAACAGACATGCCATTCTGTGACTCACCTTCCACAACATTTGTCCCAATGCACACACCTTATTAAAGTCTTGTGCTCGTTATGTGATGCCAACAAGCATTTGAAAATTGGCTGTAATCAGCTCTGAAGAGGACCGTGCCCATATTATTCCTCAGGTATCCTGACACAGTTGCTGCCTGTTTCTGAAGAGACTTTCTTCACAGGCAATGTCTAATTTTTACACAAAACAGGTGGTGTTGATTTACAAAGTTACACAGGATGTTTGTCAGTTTTAAAACACAAAAAGGCACAAGTATGCAACTACAGATGAGATCAAATGCCTGGTTAAGCTAGTGGCTAACAGTAGAGGAGAAAGTAAGGTTATATTGATATTTTTTATATTATTTTTATAGCCCACAGGGACATGCCCCTGAGTCAAAGGCTACATATGGGAAATAGTATCTGGAATTCCTCAGTGGTGTCCATTGAAACCCATGGAGCCTTTGCCTTTTTGATCTGTGTGTGTAAGAGGTAAGGAAGGTGCTCCATACCCTTGAACACCCTTTTTGCCTTCCTCCTTATCTTTTCTGCTCCTACTGCATAAAGGGAATTAGGAGAACAGGAACAAAGGACAGGAACTGCACTGGGTACTCCAACTCCAGGTATCAATAAGTGCTGAACTGTTTTATGTTTTTGTCTTTTCTTTTCCTGACAATCCTGAGATTCCACATGTTCTGCTTGATTGTTTCTCAAGAAATGATGAGTAGGTCTGCTTACAGACATGACATATGCTTACATACTTGGGTTGAGCAAAAAAATGTCGGCATAGGTTCTCAGTTTTCTTCAGCTATGGTTATATGCTTTCACAAAGCCAGTTTTAGAACCACAGATGATGATAAGTTGAGATCTCTGTTCAGCAGTAAGCTGCATGGTAAAAATCTGTACTATTTATAACAGTTATTTTCTACCTTGCTATTACAAACATTTTATCAGAAAAAAAAAATTAAATTGTAGTAAGCCGTAGTAACTCTTCTATATAAAATTAACAAACAGTCAAATAACAGCTCTAAGAATTTTGCCTTTTTTTCGTGTTAATGGTATGCAAAACTATTATTAGGTTTGAAAGTTGTTCGAATTTTTAACGCCTTCTGAAGTCATTCCATCCTATAGTCAGCTGCATATTTTCTGAGTGACAAACACTAGAAGAACCAACAGCTACAGAGAGGAGCTAACAGCAGCTAACTCAGATTCTAACGGTAGGAGACCAGCAGATGTCACATGGACTGCTGAAAAGAGTGGACGATTTTTCACTACATGCAGCAGGCCACTGAATCAGCCCCTACATGTGTACTACAAAAGAGAGGAATTGTACAGCAGGTATTCGGTAGGAAATCAGTGCAATAAACTGATTGTTTTAGCAGCTGCATATTTTAATGTATGTAATAAACTAATTGGTAAAACTCTTTTCCCTCTTTTTTATCTTATTGTTATGGTTTTTGCACAGCAAGAACAGGTTCCTTCCTCTATGAGTACAAATGAGATATAGCTTTGGGATGTTGTAATCTATTCTGACATTTGTTTATCTCAAACACTTTGGTTTTATCCATAATTCTAAGACCTCAGTCAGGAAAAACAACAAGAGAAGATATTAAAAATATTTAAAGCTAAAGGATATGTCTGGAGGAAGAAGAAGAAAAAGAGGGCTTACATGTTATTTTCAGGGGTGTCCTGAATAGTGACCATAAAATGTTGTTGTTTTTTAACAGAGGCATTTATGACTGGAACTGGAGTATCATCCAGTCTCACTTCATTCTCTGATATCCACTGAGTTTGCTATATGAATCTTCATTGTTCCTCAGGACAGAAGCCAAGGCTTCTCATACTGTTCCTCTACTCATGCTGTAGCAGAAGGTAAAAGTCTGGCCCTGCTGCACACAGCTTTACATTTTCTATCTTCCAACCCCTATGATTCTATTGTTCTATGATTCTACAATAAGGATACCAAACCCAAGGGATTTGGCTACAAAGTGAAAAGCAGAATCCAATCCTTAGGAACATTCAGGTTCCAAATTACCATAGGAAAGCTGGGGTACGTCTTGAAAGACCTAGACTGTGGGATGAGTTTTGAGATTAAGACTTAAATTTAATGTGTACGGGTAGGTGCTTATAGTAAATGTCTAGGCACTGATTATAGCTACAGCCAGAATGGCTAAGTTCAGGCTGTAGTCAGTGGATATTTAGAGGCTATGAATCATTTGCCTATTGCCACCTAAGATGCCTAAATGGAACCTGAGATGTCTACCTGGGGCTAGCATCCAGCACCAATGAAGCAGCACCTGAGAGCCAGGTGGGAAACACCCAGGCATCTAAAGTGGCACTAGAAACCCATTTGTGGGGCATCAAGCTTAAGCAAGGCATGTAACAGAAGTGTAGACATTTGACTATGTAGAAACCTGCAAGTCTCAAACTGAGTCATGTCTTAGGGGCATCTCCACAACATCTTTCAATGACACGTTTTGCTCTGAATTCACTCCAGCTGAAGCAACAGAGTAAGGGAACTTCCACTGAGTTTCTGGTTGACTTTTGAGATATTTTCTGCCAGTTCTCAACAGAGGACTGAGAGTCTGTGCAATGAACGCATTCAACTGGTTAGTTCTCTTTTGAGTCCCATTGCATAATTCGTTTTATAGTTTTCTTTTCTTCTGTTGAAGCAGAGGAGCCTTATTCCCTCAATGGGTTATCACTGCCTGTGCTGCCATATGAGGACTATGCTTTAACACTGTGTGTTTGTTGCTAGATCTCCTTTTTGGCTACATGGCAGGCTGGAACAACAGGGAGAGGGAAAAGCAGAACCCAGAGTAATGATATGTACAGCGACAGCAGCAGAGCAAACACATGAGAAGCAAAAGCTGCTAAAACTCTGGGATTGCTTTCCTGATTTTCTGACACTGCATTTTGCAACTATCATTAAATGATGTTTTCCTCATCTGTGTAACTCCCACTCTGTCCCCTGGCCTTTGATATCTGTTTGGTTTACGTAGTCAAATTTAGTCTGGAGCACTTTGTGTGTTTGTTTTTTTCTTCTCCATGGTTTCAAAAAGCAATTAATATAATTAATAATTGTAAGATGAGGAGGAGGAGCTGTAAAACTCTGATGATTGGTTGCTCAACAATGATCTCATTTTGCAAATTAAAATATATCAGATTCTATCAGAGCTAGCTGCTGATCTCAAAGTCCATAGATTTTCTTATTTTTAATATCTTTTCTTCTGTAGATTTCTACTTCTTTATCTGAACAAAATATTGCCGTTTGCTTTTATGCCCTCTGTAACTATTTATAAGTTAAAAATGGTCTGTCTGATGTTAAAAAGCGTATGTATTTGCACGTACTACTTAATTAAAGACTGGGCTTCAAAATAATAATGTCAGTTCTCGTCATTAGCAGTGGATGAAAATGTAATAGAGTCACTGAAAAATAAACAGAAAGGCAAAGAAAGATTTGAAAGTCAGTTGCTAGTAAACTTTTTCTTTTTTAGGAAATATTTTCAACATTGGAGATGGATTTTTTTCTCTATTTACAACATAACCTACCACATTAATTACCACTGCTGGAGAGGAAGTACCAAATAAAAAGCATAAATAAAAGGCAAAAAGGCAAATAGTCAATCCAGGACTTTTTACACCATTAGGTTTTCATGCTCTCCTGGGCTTGGCCAGGGTGGGGTTAATGTTCAGAAGCCGCTGCAGCTGGGCGGGGCCACAGCCGGGATGGACAACAGGACCAGCCAATAGGATAGCAGATACTGACGTCCTGCCCCTATATAAGGGGAGGGGCTGGCCCAGGAGCAGCTGTTGTTTTCAGCAGGTAGTTTGTGACTGGAGCAGGGGAAGCTGCATCTCCTGTAAGGGGGTTATTGTCACTTGCTTTATATATTATTTCCCTGGTCGTCTTGTTGTCTCTCCTCACTTTATGTTGGTCTATTAAACTGTCCTTATCTCAGCCCAGGGGCTTTTTTGTTTTCTCTTCCTCCTGTTTCTCCTCCCCTAACACACGTTTCGAGGAAGCAGTGGGCAGTGGCTGCTGGGCTTTATCTCCCAGCTGGGGCTGAGCGGTGACACGTGCCATTCTGCAGTATAATTAACTTATAAGCTTCTGCAGAGCAGAAGCGGTCATCCATCATAATTATGTACAGCATCAGGTGTATTAGGAACTTAATCACATTTCAGGTTCTGGAGTTTGTCTTTTAATTAAATTAGCAAATGGAGATGATGACAACAATAATAGGAATTCTTCCTGATGGTGGAATGCACCAGTAATTATTGCCTAGGGAGCTCTGCCAGGTGCTTTGCCGTTAATACCAAATACTGACAGCATGGCTCTCCCTATCTGAAGTTAGAGGCATACAAGTGATGTACAACAGCAGAGAATGGAATTTACTCATAAGGTAAATTAGGCGCCACTTAGACACTGCTCACACCTTGGGAAGAGGACACTCATCAGGCATACAAGGCCAGGGTTGGGCTGCTTCCCCCGCACTTCCTCATGCGTTGTGCAGGCCTGAGGAGCTGCATGGCAACAAGTGCCTCATTCCTGCGTCACTGGTGGCTCTGATGCTTGTGCCACCCGCCCTGCTGGGCCTGTGTGCCTGCTGGTTAGGGGCCAGGGCAGGAGCAGGAGGCGGGAGGCGGAAATTCAGTGGGGAAGGTGGGGCAGATTTGGATACTGGGCTGGGAGGAGGGTGTGCTCTTTCAAATTCAGCCTGTGCTGGTGCAGTTTAACTTTCAACTCTTTCAAACATCAGATACCATACTGAACATGGATCTTCAAACAGTGTGTGTTTGAAGCCATACACCTTTTAGTTCAGCTTTC